AACTCTAAATTATTGGGCCACACTTACCCATTAATTTCCAATTTTTCCCATAAGTCATCTACCTATGAAAATCTTCAAATCGTCTCAAAAACACCAACTCTAAATTATTGGGCCACACTTACCCATTAATTTCTAAATTTTGGAACTACGTTGGTTTGATCCCATCAAGAGTATGTAGGCAGTCTAGCATTCCAATAAACGCAACCGCAACCAAATTCTCACCAATCAAATCAACACACAAATCAATTCCGAACTACGTTGGTTTGATCCATTTGAAAGGGTACATAGGCAATCTAGAGATTCAATCTAGATGCAACCATCCCAAACATAACTCCATATCGAATCCCTGACTTATTCAGCTAAATTCACTCAAACACCCTTCAATCAAATTCATTCAAATTCCTTTTTTTTTGCAATGAGTCATCTATTCATTGCGAATCTTTGAACTACGAGTGGCTTGATTCCTGCAAAGGATACGTAGGCACCCTGAGGTTGAACTTGGGAGCAGCCGCAAAACCAAACACATACATTCTGTTTCTTTATGATGGAATCAAAGGGTTTTCCCTTGTAGCGAGGGATTGTAATTAAGAGACTTGCGTCTTTAATGGGTCGAACCTAAAATAATAAAACCCCATTAATTAATTAGTGGTGGTGAAATTATGTTTGGAGATTTACAGTTTTTCTTCAACATAATTTTTGGCACGGCCGGTGGGATCCATTTACCTTTTCATCTCCAATCATAAAGTAACTAACGTTTTTTTATTTGTGCCACAGGTTAGCAAACCTAGATACGATGGCACCACAAGTAACAATTTTCTTCCACAAGATTGAAACTACTAAGAATGCGTGCACCAAACGAGTGGGGTTCAAAAAGACTTTCATTGTTGGTGAGAGTCTCATCAAGTGCATTGTTCCAAAGCCCATTCAGAGGGCCAAACCTCAAGTCACTCCTAAGGTCGTCAAGACCCAATTGAAGAAAACATCGTCCAAGAATGCTCTCCGAAATGCAAGAAAGAGGGCCGCACGTGCTTTAAGGAAGAAAGAAGCAAAGAGTCAGTCTATTGAGGCAATCTTGTCCGAGCTCTCTGGGACAAGTTCAATGGTGACAGCAAGCGAGAACACCGCAAACACCCTGGTTGTGCCGACTCCGAAGAGGACAAGTGCTACCCGATTTGTCCAAATCATGATTGGATCAATTCCGATCAACTTATATCCTACAGATTCAGCCTTGATGACTTCCATCGACGAAACTAGCGACGAAAGTCAAAAGGATGACTCTCAAGAAAACATTGAGGTCCAAGGGGTCGAACCTTCGTCAAGCCCTAGATCCCATGTTGTGGAATCTACATTACAAGAGGTTTACCCCTATTCTCATAAGGGTAAAAGCAAAGCCACCATCATGAAAAAAAAGGTGGTGAACATACCTCATCCACAAAGGAAGAGGGTGAAGAAAGCCGTTGTTTCAAAGGGTCAAATTCTCATACCACAAGGGGCAGTCCCGAAACCTCAAGATCAATCAAGGCCCTATATGGGTCCATTGACTCGTTCTAAATCTCGAGACATAATGGGGATGATTGTTCCCGAGTCATCTAGTCTAAACTCGGCTCGCTTGGATGATTATTTACAATGGAATCCTCTCTATGATGATCCTGTATCTCAGATTCAAGAGAATGATTGTATAGCATCCCAAGGGACCGAACTTCTTGAGGGAGTGGAAAGCATGCAAGTCATGATGACTGGTTCTTCCAATACTGAAGACCAGTTACCTTTAATCCAAGAAATGATGCAAGACCTGCGAAGGGAAATGCAGCAGAAGTTGGCAGAGAAAGACGCAGAAATA